ACACACACACACACACACACACACACACACACACACACACACACACTCAGAGACCCTCCCAGAGAATCACAGAGACATAGACATACAAGGTCTGGCAGAGAACCAGGGTCTTCCCATGGAGGTACACAGAAAGATGCATTCATTCAAAGACAACTCCACAAGGATACAGTCCTTTCCTCCTCCCTCTAATCTTAGGGATCCCCTCCCCAGCCCTGGACTCCAAATTTACTGCCTCCCAACCAAACCCCCATACCTGTTTTGGAGGTCAAAAATTCTTTGGACCTCTTGCTGGAAGTGTCTGTGCTGCTCGGCTCCTGAGGACTGGGACACCCGTGCAAATTTGGTGAGGGCTCTGGAATTGGCCCCTGATTGTAGCTCCTTGGTAGACAGGGCTCGGACAGCTGCAATCACCTCCCAGCGAGAGAGCTTCTTAATCTGATGTAGAGACATGGGAGGAGATACTCATTCTGAGGTTGTCCTGGGAGGGAACCTGCCTGGGGGGCTCCCAACCTTCCCTGAATGCCTCTGGCATTCTACCTCCTTAACTTCATTTAGACTGCCTGCCCCCTGACCCTTTCATGACTTGAATGGAATCTGGCCACATCTCTACAGTTGGGAATAATTCTCTTCCTTCAAGCAAGGCATCATCACCCCTCTAGAAACTACAGTCTTCCTTCATCTCCTCTACCATCTCCCACCTGCTCTCCCACATGCACTTAGTGGCAAGGCATCCCTGCCTGCCTGCCACCAGAAATACCTACTCACCTCCTCCTCTGAGATCCCAAATATCCTCAGCAACTTCTGGGCTTTCTTCAGGGTGAGACGTCGAAGGTCTGCATCAGTACCCATCAGCCTCTCCCCCTCCAAGCGGATTTTGTTCTGCTGCAACATCAGAGTGAGATCCAAACATTCAGGGTATGCCTCAACCCCCTGAGGCACCCCCACATGCCTACCAAGTCTCCTTGTATCCTCCTCCAACTCACACACTGTCACACTCACCAGCCCAATATCCCTCTTTTCCATAACCCTACCTTGGCACCATAGCCCACTAGAATCTCTCCACCATTTATGCTTCAATTGTGCATCTCTGCATGCCTCACCCCCAAATCCCTTCATCCTTCACCCTCTAGGATCTCTTTTCTCTCCTCCATTCTCTGCCCCCAATCAGTCCATCCTCGATCCCCAATACCTACCAGTAGGCCAAGTGTCTTTCTTCCATCATCCACGCCCACTGTCCTTCTACATCTTCTTCAACCCAGCATCTGTCCATTCCAAAATGCCTCCATCTGCTATGTCTCCTACCCCCAATCCCACTACCCTCACACTGAATCTCTTCTTCCTTCCCTTCACATCCCTCCATCCCTTCCAAATAGGAATCCCCCCTGGTCCATCCTTCCCCTGCCCAACGCTCATTCAACTCACCTTGAGTTTGACATAGGAAATGGCCTCCCCACAGCCTGTGGGGTCAGCTGCTCCTCTCACCTCCAGTAGACACTGCCCCTTGGTGGCTGCTAGAAAGGCCCGAGTTGTGTTCCATGGAGCACCCTGGACCTAGTGTTCAAGGCAGGGAGCCAGGTTAGTCTGAGTGAAAGGCTCAGCATTGGGACAACTAGGTGGTGCAGTGGACAGAGCACTGGCCTTGAAGTCAGGAGGACCTGAGTTCAAATCCGGCCTCAGACCAAACACTTGACACTTACTAGCTGTGTGACCCTGTGCTAGTCACTTAACCCCAATTGTCTTAAAAAAAAGTGTTTGAAAAGCTCAGCATTGAGACTCCAGAACCCTTCCCCATCCCTACCAACTCTCTGCTTCCTCCAAAATGGTGACTTTTCCCAATGGCAAGTAAGGGTAGCACTGGCTTGGTGCATGCCAGACTAATCAAAACTAAGGAACAATATTTGAGAAGAAATAGTACTTAGAAATTTAGTCATTATCTCTTCATCTTCTAGGATAGAACCTCCCCTCTCTCTCTCAGACCAGGGGATCCAGAAGGTCAGAGTTAAGTCTCCCACTCCATACCAGATGGCTCATAGTTACCTCATCTTCTAGACACATGTCATCATCACTTGTCTCCTCTGGGTTCAGAAGAGATACCTCCCCATAGCCAGCATCCTGGAGAAATGAACCTTGTCATAATTCAATAATTCAATCATTCCATAAGCATTTATTAAGCACCTACTATGAACTAGGCAGTGTGTTTAGCAGTGGCAATTCCAAAGAGAGGCCAAAGACAGTCTCTTTCCTCAAGGAACTCACAATCACAAGATGGGAATGGTCCCAAGATAAATGGGGGGGTCCCTTTCAGGCAGGGCCATATTCTCCTCACCCCACCCCAAGATCAGGGGCTACTCAGAGAATGTAAAATGATAGGATCTCAGATGCAGGAAATGTCCCTAGAGGCCAACCAGTCTGACCTCTTTATACATAGGAGGAAAATGAGTCCCATGATTTGCCCAAGATCCCAGAGTTATTAAGCAGTAGAATCAGGATTCATACTTGGGAGCCCTGATGCCCAGATCAGCATTCATTCCATGACCCCACATTAACTTCTCCTCTCATTTCCTCTCATATCCCACCCCATTCACCAAGCAAATGGGCATACCCACCTTGAGACGCTGCTGGGCAGCCAGCATGCTATATAAAGCACAACATTGCTCTGGGGTCAACATGACCCTCAGCTCCTCTTCACTTGGCAACCGGAATCCAGCCTTCAGCACCCACCAATTAAAATAGGTTCCTGGAAGACACAACCAGTTATCCTGGTGAGAGAGCAAGGATAGGGCCAAGCTTCAATACTGCCTTCTAGGCCTTCCTCATGCCCTCTTCCTCGTCCTGGCATTGGAGGCCCATCAGCATTCCCTCCCTTATCTTCCTATCTTCCTTGACAGGCCACTTCTGAAGGCTGCCATCTATCACCTATCAGTCTTTCTTCCTCTACCCCTCACTATCCTCTCTATTATTCCTGGTCCCTCTGGGTTTGACCCCTCACCTGTCCGATGGAAATCTGAACACTTAGTGAGCCTCCTTCGAATGCTGCTCTCAGCAAGTCTGGGGAAGGCCTTTCGGATGTCCTCCATGCGAATCCTCCGAGGTCTGTGAGGGCTTCTCCAAAACTGCCTATATATAAACACCTGGAGGAGAAAAGAGTAGAGAAAGTCAAAGAAGGTTAGTGGGCAGATGCTTGAGACCTCTGGTCCTCTCCTCCCATATCCCTGAGGTCATCCCCTAATCCTTAACCCTTTCCTTGCTTTCCCAATCTGACTTTGCCAACCACACCTTCCCAGGACCCCATCTCATTCTAGCCTCTGTGGATGATTCTGCACTTGTGTTCCCATGCCTCCCAGGAATCGGAGTCATAGCAGGCAGACCCCGAGTTTCACAGCCTTTCCAATGTTGAGTCCTTGATACTTCTTTGAAAGTACAGAAATAGCTCTTAATACCAGCCCTGTACCTGAGACCCCCTTCCTTGCCCAACTCCACAACCCCTCCCCCCACATACACATGCATATTACCTGGAGAAATTCATGAATGTAATTCTTTGCCATTTTTGAGTTGGGGGCAGGAACTTCATTCAGTGGGCACTGCTGCCCAACAGTGAATATATCCTTCACTTCCCTTAGAAAGTAGCCTGCTTTGGTCACCACAACCACAAAGTCTGTATCTGCCATCTGATGTGGGTAGATGGGAGCCCGAAAAAGTTTGTTCTCCAAAGCCTATTGAGAGAAGAGAAAGTGTCTTCCACATACTTTTTTGTTTTTGTTTTTGTTTTTTTACCTTTTTGGTTAGGCAATGGGATTAAGTGACTTGCCCAGGGTCACACAGCTAGTAAGTGTCAAATGTTTGGTCTGAGACAGAATTTGAACTCAGGTCCTCCTGAATCCAGGGCAGGTGCTCTATCCATTGCACCACCTAGCTGCCCCCACACACTTTTTACAGACTGGATAAATGATACTCCCATCCTCACATTGGATTTTCCAGTCAAACTGGCCACCTTACTATTCCCCAAAAGTTGCCTTCTCTCACTTCCATTCACTTGTATTGTTTGTGGAAGATAGACACAGAGATAGATAGCAGCAAAGAAAAGGAAGAAGAATCAGATGAGGTGGGAGAGAGAGGGGGAAAAAAACAAAGAAAGAAAAGATGGAAGGAAGGAAAAGAAAGGAAGGAAGAGATAGATACTTTGAGAGATATAGAGTGAAGAGAGAAGGGGAGAAGGAGTAAGGGAGAGGGGGGAAGGGAGGGAGGAGGAGAGAGAGTGAGGCAAAGATAAGCAAAGATGATATAATCTCAGGAAGAGAGAGGAGAGACAGGAGAGTGGAGATGATGATGTAATGCTCAGTTCATCTGGCTGCTGGAGCCCTGATTCAGGTAGGTCTAAGATCAAAGGGAGAGAACATTTTACCTGCAAGAACTGTCCAGCATGGAGTTTCCCCAGGAAAGGTGAGGATGAACAGAACACAAGGTTTCCATATTTGTAGGCAGGAGGCCCAGTGTCCTTCCCAATTTTCTGTAGAAAAGAAGGTAAAGAACTTTGGCAGGGAACTAGCCCCAGACACTAAGGTGAATGCTCAACTCCCAGAATCCCCTCAAGTCTATTAATCAATGCCCCTCTCAACTATGTGCCCATTTGTTGTTGCTCCATCATTTCAGTCATGTCTAACTCTTCATTTGGGGTCTTCTTGGCAGAGATACGGGAGTGGTTTGCCATTTCCTTCTCCAGCTCATTTTATAGATGAGGAAACTGAAACAGAGTTAAGTGAACTGCCCAGGGTCACACAGCTAGTAAGTGTCTGAAGCCAGATTTGAACTCAGAAGGATGACTCTTCTTGACTTCAGACCTGGCACTCTACCCACTGCACCACCTAAGCTAGCTGCCCCATGTGCACATTACTGATTATAAAGATATCAGGAAGTCTCCCTGGGAGGGGAGAGCCTTGAAGTATGGAAAGATGAGGAAAGAGAGATGCAGGGGAAAGAGAGAGAAACTTGCTCAAAGGAAAGGAGAAGCATTAGAGAGGATGATAATACTGGAGATGATGGTGTTGGCCTGACTGATTCCAGTGGTCTGTTCTAGGAAGGTGTGGCTAGGTACCTTGAGAGGAAAGTCAGTGCTGGTTTGTGGAGTCCTTGAAGTCAGAGTAGAATAACCTCTATGAAATTCAGAGGAGAAGCAGTAAACCTTTCCTCCACAAAGGACCAGTGAGCCACTGGGAAGAAATGCCTTCAGAGTCACTACCAGATTAAAAAAGAATAGAATCAGTTTGGACATGGTTGGTGAAAAGGGAATTTCACATATCATTCTATTCATCTACCTCCAACATTCAGAGGAGAGAAATCCAGCTCCATTCAGGACTCAAGGCTTGGGATGAAAATTATGATTCATAAAATTGTGACCAGACAACGAAGGGGAGGGACAGGGGAAGAAGGTGAGTTAGAGAGGCTGAAGAAGAATGAGAGAGAGAGAGAGAGAGGGAGAGAGAGAGAGAGGAAGGGAGGGAGGGAGGGGGAAAGATGCAAAAATAAGCAAAAAAGAAAAAGGGAGGGAGGTAAAGAGAAGAATGGGAGTAGACAGAGAGGGGACTTGAGATAGAGAAGAAAGAGTGGGCAGATAAAGGGATAGTCATGAAAAAACAGAGGGAAAGAAAAGAGGAAAAAGAAAAAGAATTGATGAGATAACAAGAAGGAATAAGGAAGAGAAAAATCAGAGAAATGAGGGGGGTAGAGTCAAGATAGAGGGACAGAGGAAGGTACAGAAGGTAAAGAAGGATTGAAATGCATACAGGGAGGCCAACAGAAAAATAGGAACATAGGAACATACCTCCAGAGATGGCTAGACACACTACCTTGGAGAAACACAAAGAGAGAGAGACAGGGAGAAGTCTTGCAGGAACATCTACTGAATATGGCTACTGAAGTTGTCTGAAATCCTGAGCCATTGCTGCACCACTGGGCAAATAAAGGGCATCTTTTCCTACTCTGTGCCTGGGGAGTAGCTCTGTGTGTCTCCTTCATGACTGGCAGGGGGCAGACCCACCTTCTCAGCCATCTCCTTCTATTCTGTGCCTGGGGAGTAGCACTGTGTGTCTCCTTCATGACTAACAGGGGCAGACCCATGTTCCCAGTCCATCTCTCTGGTTGGAAGTTAGGACTTACCCTTTTGTAATAGTTCTGGATCTGGGAGGCCATTCCAACCTGGTTCAATAATGGTGGATTTTCCTCACTCCACTCAACCAGAATGAGATCTCCATCTAGCCCACTCAAGTCCTGGATTGTTTTCATGAAAAACATGTGACCTCCTCCTGAAGCCTTCAGCTCCTTCTGCCGTTCCTGGTGGAACAGACAGGAACACATCAATGTCAGATAGGTGACCCCACCTCAGGGTCCTTTCCATCTCTTAGAACTCAAAGCATGGAACCATACCAATTTATCACTAAAACATTGCCTTGAGACCACTGAATCCACGTCCTCTTAATATATGCTATTTTATATATGAGGAACCTGTGGACCAGGGTGGCCCAAGGGAGTTGTCCCAAGTCCCACAACAAAGCAGGGACAGAGCTAGGTATCCTGACTCCCACCCACTGACTTCAGGGCATTTCCTCTGCCTTTCTACCTAGCATTTCTGATCCCAAAATGAGATCTCAAAAAATATATGAGGACAGGTCAGAGGACTGACAGGTCTTACCTGGGCTTTCTTTTGGATGTGATGAATCAAGCTGTGGACAGGGTGGGGCCCTCTGTCAAGTCGTTTGAGTTGGGGTCGATGAAACAGGCGGAGTTGCTCAGCTCCCATGTGGGTAGGAAAGAGTTTGGAGTGTAGCTTCACTGCTGGTATTGAATGCTGGAGAAAGGAGATTAGGGCTGTTCAGGCTAATGGAGAGTTAAGAGAGCCTTCCCCATGATGACTGGGATCTCTTCCTCAGACTGTCCAGCCTTGGGGTTGGAATCCAAGGGTCCTGACCATGACTGCTCTATTCCCCCCCACCTCATTCTGGCTCTCTGATTTTTGCCTCTTTGTCTCTCTGGCTCTTCCAGTCAGTCTAGCTGAGGCTGTTTTCTGTTTTGCCTCTGCCTCTATAGTCCCATCTTCACTGGTCTCTTTTCTTTTGTCTCTGTTCCCATCACTCTGTCTCTGGTTTTGTGTTTCCCTCTCCCTTCACCTTCTGGTTTCTATCTTCACCTTTTTCTCTATTGTAACCTCCCTCCTTGTGTCTCTATCTATCTCCCTCTTTGTGTGTGTTGGGGAGGAAGAAAGTTCTTTTCTTCTTCTTTCTCTCTTTTGTCTTCAGGGGATCTAGGATTGACCTTTGAATTCCCAGGTCTGGCTGCCTCCCACCTGGGGACAGAACTTCACACAGACTACACTCTGATGGTCTTCCCTGGAAAAGTTCTCAGACAAATATAGGAGTTGGGGGGGAGAAATGAGAAAAATATCTGGGAATTTCACCTGGATTATAGAGATGCTGAGGGAAACCTGGAGGCCATGATGCTGGGGGAAATAAAATTCATCATTGGACAGGTTCCAGGGGTCCTTGGCTTTCAGCTGGATTGGAGTCTGAGGAGAGACAATGGGATGACAATAGCATAAGCAAAAAGGACCTTGAGATGAATCTGAACCCTCAGGCATTGCAATCGCCAATCTTGGCCCAGGAGGGTAGAGACAGAAATGTACTTCTTTCCTTCCTTCTTCCCTTCTTTGGAGAGGCAGGGTCCTGTGGGCCCCTAAGGATGCATACACTGCCTGCTACAGTACCTTTGTCACAGAATCTCAGAGCTGCAGGAGACCTCAGACACCATCAAATCACATACTTGAGCAAGGATTCCCTTTCCAAAATGCCCAACAAGAAGTTATCTGACTTCCACTGGAAGATCTCCCAGGGAGGATCAACACATTCCACTTTGGGGTACCAAATTGTTAGGACCTTTATCCTGACATTAACCCCACATTTGTCTCTCTACACCCTCTATCCATGGCTCCTACATCTGTCCTTTGTAGCAAAGCAGAACGATAGTTAATGATGGCTTAAGTGTTTCTGTCTATATGTATGTGTGTGTCACAAAGGTGGGGGAAGAAATGAAGAAGAAAAGGGATAGCAATGACAGCAAGGAGGAGGAGCGTAGAGCTAGAGAGTCAGACCAACCTTGGTAAACTGGAAGCATCCAGGAGGATGACCATAATAAGAAAGGACTTCTGGAAAGTAGTCCCTAAGAGAGTCAGTTGGGAGGATCTACTGATGTTTAGCTGGGGAAGGCCTTTGAAGGGCTAGACTGTGGGATGGGGCCAGTCTTGTGCTGCTTGAATACAAAGGGCAGAACTGGGAGTGGTGTGTATAAGTTGCACATAGGTGGCTTTAGACTTCATGGAAGGAAAGACTGTAACAAGGGTCGTATCTCCTTCGGGACATGTTGGGTTTTCATCTCTCGGGAGGTCTTCCCAAAAAAGGCTGGATGAGCAATAACACTTTCTGTGTGTGGTAGGGATGAATTAGCTAGCTAATCTCAGGATTCTTCCAACTCAGGGATTCCCTCCTTTAGCTGCCACTCAGAGGTGACCTCCTCCCAAAACCCTTGGAGCCCAACACACTCACTGGCTCAGCCTCATCCACTCCCATGATGCCATTTCTTAGCATGATTTGACTCTTCTTAGAAGACCCCTTTTGGGTCAACGGGTCAGGGGCTGCAGTCTCTACTTCCACAGGCTCCTCGATTTTAACTGTGAAAAAATAAGAGGTCAGAGGGTGATAGATTTCTAGATGGCCAGGATCTGTGCAAGGTAACAGCCAGAATTTGACTTTCCACTGGGCCATTATGACTCTTAAGCTAGGTGACCCAATCTTGGGAGCTCAGGGAGCTCTCCCTGGTACCCAAACACATAATCCCTTAATCTTACAGTCAGAACTGGAAGGAGCCCCAAGAGACATCTAGGCCAACCTAAAGCAATCTGCATGAACACAACCCAGGCAAATGTTCATCTAGACTCTGCAGGGTAATAGGGAGTCCACTATCATCAAAGAGAGCCCCAAGCTGCTTCTGCATAATGCCTTCCTACCCTGGGCTCATTCCCCACCATAGCCATTTCCCCAGAACCCAGAACCACATTAGCCAGTTTGGAGGTACTTCAAGGTCCTTTTGGGATTCCCACAACTTCCCCTTCCTGCTCTCACTTACTGGTGCAGGTGAGGCAATGGAGCTAAACCATAAAAAAGCCATACCCAGTAGGAGGTTCTCATCATCTGCATCAAATGTCAGGACTGGAGGATAGAGTGGTCTGGGCATGGCTTGGGCATCCCAAATAATGTTGTCTTCCCATTGGCCATAGATGAGGTCTTCATTCTCAGGGATGAAAATTGACCCACCAGGCTGAGAAGGGTCATGGGTGCCTGCAGACAGAGAAAAGAGGGAGGTGAAGCTCAGGATAACTGGATTAGTGTCGGCTCCAACCAGATCTAGGATCTAATCATCTAGCCCTATCATCAGTCTCATACCTATTACTATTCTCAACACATTCTCATCTGTTTCCTCTCCATTTTTATCCCTGCCCCTGACTCTATCTCCATACCTACCCTAACCCCATCTCTTTCTCCATCCCCATCTAGATCCAGATAGGGATATGGATCCATATCTCTATCTCCATCTCCAACTCTATCCCCATGACCAACTCTAATTTTATCTCCCTCTTCATCTCCACCCCTACCTCATCCCCATCTGTATTCTCATCTCCAGTTCAGTTCCATCTCTATGTCAGCATTTCCTCACATCTCCATCCCAATCACTACACTCACAACCATCTCTATTGTCGTGACCCAAACCCATTTCCATTCCCTCCCCACCCCCATTTCCACCATTTTCCCAGTTCTTCCAGAGCTCTCTGACCTGTTTTGAGCAATCTGGTATTTTCGGAGGGAATCCACCCTGCCTGAGATACTTTCTGGGCATTAGGGCAGGACCCTTGGACATCTCTGTTATCCCAGATTATGTCATCTTCCCAGGATTTCTGCATGACCATCAGGAAGTTTTCATCCTTCAGCAAGGGGTGGTCTATTTGGCTTGTCTCTTCCTCCTCTGGTGACTTTTCTTTAAGTCGAAATCCATAATCAAAACCTCTCCCGTGGGGAGGGACACCCAGCATATCATACCAAAGCTTGGCAGGGCCATAACGCCATGGGGCCACCTCTTCTGAGTAATGGTCTTGGGAGCAGTTAGCCGATTGAGAGCTAATCTGTGGGGCCACTGGAGTCATCATTTTTGTCTAGGGTGGAACAGGGGGTGTGGATTAGGTTTGAGAATAAAGATGTAATTGTGGAGAGGGGATGGTTTGGAAAAGAGACTAAGGGTGGGAACAGAAATGGAAGTGGGGTGGGGATGATGATGGCAGTAACCTGAATGGAGGGAGACTTGAGGATGCCTACAATGGTGGAGTGTTTGGCAGGGAGTAGACATGGTATTTAGGGTGGGAAATATGATTGGAATGGAAATTTCCCTCCCCCTCCATCCCATCATTACCTCATCGTCTGTTAGGCATTCCTCAGGGTCTGGTGGTCTTGTCATCTGGGAGCCCCCCTGGATGGGTTCTGAGGAACACTGTCCTTTCTGTTGTTTTTTCCTTCTCATCCTCTTTCTGACCTTCTCCCACACGGAAGGTGTCTTCTGGGACTCAAAGAGTTGGAGGAAACGAAGAGTCTGGAACAGAAAATGGAAAATTGGGAAAGGGACCCCCCACAGAGAGGCCAGGTGGGACTCAGGTAAAGGAATCTACTCTCCCCGTCTCTTATCCATCTCCCTTTCAGGGCTTGGCTACTGAGCCTGAATGGGTTATCTCCACCATTCTCTTCAGGTGTTTGCCTGGGATCTCTCTTGGTCAGGTGAGCTCAGTCAGAATGCAAAAAGAGGGAGAAATCAAGAGGGCGGGGCCTCTGCTTGACCTTAGAAAGTAGTCGCCACAGGGACCTCTGCTACTCAGAGTGATGAGAAGGAAGAGGGTGGTCCTCCCCAGCTCCAGCAGCTCAGATGCTCCCTTGGCCTTTGTTGCTTCAAAAATTCACCAGGACTTCAGACACCTTTAGTGGCCATGTCTGCAAGGTCCCACAAGAAAGATGACCCTCTTTACATGTCCGTGAGTCTCTGTCACTGTGTCTCTTCCTCCAGTTCAGGGCCTCATTGTCTCTGTTTTCCTAACCCAGGTTCCTTCTATTTACTCAACTCCGGACTTTCTGTCTGTCTTTCCTGGTATGTCTGCTTGTCTGGCTTCCTCTCTGGGGCTGTCTCAATGTCTGGGTGTTGGCTTCTGTTTGGATGTCAGGCCCTGTCCCTTCTCTTCCCCTGATGTCCTTTGCATGTGGTCCCAACCTACCTTTCCATGCCTAAATTGTGGCCAGAGCTCTGTGACTGTAGGCAAACTGGTGCCTCTCGGGCTGACTCCCCAGGGATCCCCATGATCCTGTCCATTCTCCTTGGGTGCATCCTCCTTCTCCTCCTCAGAACTGCTGGAATCCACAGGTGACTCCTCCAGGAAAGAGGTATCACTGTCTCCAGAGAGTAGGGAAGTGTCTTCTTTCTCCATTTGGGATCCTGTATTAAAGAAACACCCTGGGCTGGGGTTCTCCATCCCCTACCCTGGGGCAGCCTTTACCAGGCGGACAGGTTGGAGGTGTTCCTTTCCCACACCTAGTAGAATGGAAGCACCATGAAGGTGGGGATTGTTTCAGTTTTCTCTTTATACTCAGAGATGACTTTATCCTCTGAGATGACAGTGGCTTCAACCCAGTAGGTGCTTAATGAATAATGGCAGAATGGAACTGTATTCCCACCCCTTGTCAGAGCCCCTGCTCACCCACCCCTGTCCAGTATGAGAGCCTGAATCCTGGAGGTGGGCTCTAAAACCACAGAAGGCCACCACCCTCAGGGAGGGTGGGGCAGATTAGTACTGACTCAGCCCCAAAGAAGGAGCCCCTGAAGTGGACCTTCACATTTAGTCAGTCAACAGACATTTATCACTCTCTCTTCCCAAATGTTCTGGGGTCTATCCTCATCACCTGGAATCTAGGAATCTAATTTTCCTTATGTTTTTCTGCCCTTCAACAAGGTGGATCTTAAAGCACATGTAGCTGGGTTTGTTCATGGGATCATAGATTTTAGAGCTGGAAAGGATTTTAAAATGATCTGGTCCCATCATTTTACAGAGTAAGGAAACTCAGATGGAAGAAAGGAAAATGACTTGCCCAGGGTCACACAGGGTTGCAGAAGACTTGGGAAGGCAAGACTTCAGGGAACTGGCCCATGGTGGGGTGGATAAACAGGGACAGGGATGGGGAGCTTGCTCCCAGCTCCTCTTACCCTGTCCCGTTCACCAGAGCCCAGCAGGCACGTCCTCCTCTGGGAAACCCCCTCTGCCTTCCCTAGCCCCCAAGGCTCTGTCCTCATTGCAAGCTCCCCAGGCTTGAACATTTTTCCTACACAGCCATAGCACCAGTCCCTCTGAAGGGATTCATTCACTTCTTGTGGCCCTGAGCTCCTGACCCCAGTGCCCAGCTCACATCCACTAGAAGCTGAGGTCAGGTCTGGGCCCACACCGTGGGATCTCTAAAGACCTGCCTTGTTAGCAAGGACTCTGGTTGGGAGAGCAGAACAGTTCCCATCAGGCCCTGCCCCTCTTCAAGTCTCTCCCATTCCCCAGGCCTCAGTTTCCTCAACTATAACATTTGCAGTAGGGGACACAGAGGTTAAGTGAGTTTGGGGGTCTTGCAATTCTTTCCCACCCCCCCTCCACAATCAACATTTTCTTGTAGGAAATCTTGGAGAACTAACCTGTAACTCTGACTGGGCGTGTAGAGGAAGAAGAGATAGGAAGCCTTCTGTTCTGCAGGACTCTGCAGGCAAAACAATTGTCATCAACTGAGATTTACTCCAAAACTTACCTTTATACCTTCTGCTCAGGCAGGATTTACACCTCTCTAGAGGTGTGAACAAGCTTGGGGCTATGAGCAGGGTGTGGTCTTTCAATCTCAGAGATGTGAACCCAGAATTCATGTAAGACCCTGAGGGCTCATTCATTCCAACCCAATCATAGAGGGTCAGACCAAAATCAGATAGCAAAACACTTGAGGATCTTCACAGACCATTTGAGAGCTTCATCATAATTTTCAAAAATCAATTTTCATTCCTATGGATTTTTTTTGTTTGTTGGTTTGTTTTTGCAGCTGAGTGGTACAATGCGTAGGGTCCAGAATTAGGTAGAAGGCCCAAGTCCATTTCCAGCTTCAGACAGCTATTAGCCGGACAAGTCACAATTGCCATTTTTGTCTCATTTTCCTCAGCTACAAAATGGGGATAATTACAGCACCTGTCTCACAGGGTTGTCATGAAGATTAAATGAAATAGTATTTGTAAAGCATTTAGTGTAGTGCCTGGCATGTAATAAGGGCTATATACATACTTATTCTCTTTCCCTTCTCCTCTTCCCCATCAATATTTACCTCATCATTTCCCAACTAGAGAGCCAATGTAAAAACAAAAAATAAAGAGAGGAAAAAATCATTATTATTTTTATTTACAAATCAGCTATTGTGGTTAAGGGGAAATTTGGCTTGTTAACTCTAAGTGCGTTTTTTTCTTTGTGTCTTTGTGTTATTACTTCTTGCTGGGTTAATTGCATAGTCAATTATTTCTGAAATTGATTAATCTTATGTAATTATAGGCTTTGATATGTAAGAGAGATGAGCAATTATGGGAACAGAGAATCCCTCAACTAAATAGGTAACATTTAATATTTTAATATATAAATACAAATTGATGTTTGTACTTTAAAAAAAAACTGGGTAGATCTCACAACTAACTGGTTTAATTAATGAGAAAGAGGTCACAATTTTCTTTAAAAGTAGAGAAATATACAAACACATCCAGGCATTGCCTTAGAACTTGAGATACTGAGAATTAACATGATAATGAGTCAAGTTCAAGGCTGGTAGAAGATCACCCACGTAGGCTATGTGTGAGTGTGTTGCGAATTAAATCTCCTTATATACTTATCAATGCTTTTTCAGTTTGTTTTATTACCAACTTGTTTTACTTTGCTTTTCTTTCAGGCCTTTTCCTTTTTCACTTACTTTTTCTGACTAAATACCTCTTCCCTTTCCTACCTCTTTGAGACATTTTCTTCAGGTCCTTATTCCTTAAAACTTGATTGTCATTGAATTGAATCTTCTTTCATATTGAATGTCCAACTTCAGCTCATAATGCTCTCATTCGGTTTATGTTTAAGTTCTTCCTATTTTCCTCTCCCTCCAATTCTTTCTCTGGCTTTCTTTGCAAGTCCAAATCCCTCACAATGACTTTCACAATTTCTTGTTCTCATATACATCAAGTCTTTATCTCCTATTCTATCTCCTACAACTTTATCACAAAGAAACCAGGAGTAGAATGTGGACCTAGAGATTAATTTCCTTCAACTCTTCCATATCGTCTCCTGAATTTTACCTCAATAAATTCAATTTGTGTTTTTCTTCACAGGCTCAGACTCCGCCAAATCACCATTTTAGTGGTGTTTATCTCTTTAAGATCGGGCCCATTTCCATTGACTTGGTTTCACTCCCAGAAATTTATCTCATGGAAGCCTGAGGGAGGACTTCTTTCCTCTGTATGTTCTTTTGGCATCTCAAACTCCATTTGTCAAAATTGGCATTCATTATCCTCATCCAAATGAAAAAATTAGCATTCATATCATCACCACTTTCAAAAATTCTCTATATCTGTTAAAAGCCCCTCCATGCTTCTAGTCATCCACATTTATGATCTTGGAGATATTCTCAAGTCTTCTGTTCACTGCCCATAGTCAATTAACTGCCTCATATTCTCAATTCTACTTTTACAATATGTCCAATATCCATCCCTTCATGTTCATTCCCATAGTGACTATTTCAGCTCAGGCTCCCACTGATTCTCTACTAGACTATTCTAATCATCTCCTAATTTGTTTCTTGGATTTTAGTGTCTTCCCTCTCCCACATAACTTCCAAGGTAATCAAATCACAGAATCACAAAACTTTAAAATCAGAGGGGACTATATGGCTTCTTAGAACCTTTTGATCCAATGCATGCTTGAAGATACTTCCCACTGTTCATACCCTTTCACACAATAGTCTCACCACTGGCTTTATACCCTATGGAGGTCAATGACAAATACAAAGGTATTCTGGATACCAAAATTTTTATACCAATATTTTTTCCATTGGCTAAAATATGGAATATGTTATATGTCCAATTGGGGAATGGCTGATCCAAATCCAGGTCAAAATCTTGCAAAGCTTAGACCAGGAGGACAATGATTAGACTCTACCCAGCATCTGACCATTTGGAAGCACTCAAGGAAAAAAAAAAGAAGTAAAAGAATGAGATCTATTGATGAAAGAATTGTAAAAGGAATTAACAGCTTGGTGTGAGTCATACAAAACCTTGTTGTCTTTGTGGGTTTTTTTTTTCAGTTTTCAGTTGTGTACTAATGGAATAGTAATGCACTCCACATTAAGAAATGAGGAAATAGACATAGAAAATTTTATATAAACTGATACCCAATGACATGGATTGTGAGTTCCTGGGGCAGGGAGTGTCCTTTGCTTCTTTTTGTATACCCAGCACTTAACACAGTGCCTGATGCTTAGTAGGTACTTAATAAATGCTTAATGACTACCTGGGATGACGTAGGCAGAAAAAGAACAACTTATACTTTGATATCACATTCTCCTTCCAAACTCAAAGTACCAATGGGGCAGCTAGGTGGTGCAATGGATAGTGGACCCGGCCCTGGAGTTAGGAGGACCTGAGTTCAAATCTGGCCTCAGACAGTTACTAGCTGTGTGACCCTAGGCAAGTTACTTAACTCTGATTGCCTCAAAAAAAAATCTCTCTTTCCTCCCCCCTCTGCCCCCGCCCCCTTTCTACATCATCTTATCTATGGCCAAGTCTTCTCAATTTTGCCTTTGTCATTTCTGTTCTAAACCCTTTTCTCTCCTCTGACCTTGCCACCACGCTGGAGCAGACCCTCACCTTGTTACATCTGGCCAACTGCAGTAGCCTACTGGTCAGTCTGCCTGCCACAGGTCTCATTGCTCCATTCCATTCTGCTCTCAGAAAATGATTTTCCTAAAGTGCAAGTCTTACCAAATCCACCCCCGAATCCTACTCAGTAAACTCCAGTAACTCTTTGTCACCTCCAAGATTAAATAGAAAATCTCTTTAGCATCCAAAGCCCTCCTACCTTTCCAATATTCTCACACCTCATTCCCCCTATCCCCACCATTTCTTCTATGATCAAGTGACACTAACTTCAATGTTCCTCGCACAAGACACATCCCCCAGCACAGTGCATTTTCACTGGCTGTTCTCCTTGCCTGGAACACTCTCCCTCATCCTCACCTTCCAGATTCTGGCTTCCTTTCTTCAGCTAAAATCCTAATTATCCAAGAAGTTATTTTTGGTCTCCCTCAATTCTAGTGCCCAGCTTCTACTGATTATCTCATATTTATCATATATATATTATATATATATATATATATGTATGTATGTATA